CTATATGTTCAGTTTGGAAAATACAGATTTCCCATTATTCTTTCATCACCTTGAAAACATATTTAATGTTTCATTATATGTTTTGGTCCATCAGCAACTATTGCTCTAGAAGTGAAGTTAGTACAAGTTCAGAAGGTCATTGTGACAGTTGGTACTCATAAGTGTAATGGGTCCAAATTTCAGTGCAGCAGAAGCCCACGTCTACCTAGAATTGCATACATAAAACTTCAATTTTCACCACAGATCCAGTTAGGACTCTGAATTCCATGCAGGCCCAAAGTTCTAATACGAAGTACACTTAATTCATACCCTTCCATTTAAAATTGAATTTTCTAACTGCTAAAGGATTTCTCTGAATTACTTTCTCTCACAACTCGATTGCAAACCTTTGGGTTCAAATTATTTTTTGAAAAACAGAGTCGAGGCCTGAATCAGATTTGTAACTCAAACTTTATAAATCTAAGTATGCACTTCACAACCACAGCTCCCAGCAGAACATTTCAAGTGCTGAAAACTGAAACTTGGAAGTGTAGTTCTAGCAGATGATACAGATAACCCAAAGGAGTTCCATCTTCTAAAATAAGCAAAGACCAAAGGTAGTTGGCTTTTGCACCAACATCCTTTGCTGCTTGCTAAAAGACTTAAACTGGATTGAACTAGATGAGGCAGGAGGACTGATTTTAAAAAGAAGAGAGGCTTGTAATAGAATCCCTTAATGACAAACAAAAGCCATAATCTGATCTGCTCTACATACACTACTAAAGCATACTCTGTACCACTGCAAGTTAAGCTTGAGGTTCCGGATGAGACTACACATGTTTATGAAGCATCTTTAAATCTTTACCAATATTACAGGTCAAACTTTTGCTTTAAACAAAAAAAAAAACCCCAACCTTCCTCCAACTGATACTGTTAGTCAAAACTATTAAATCAACTGAGAAACTGATGTCTGCAAAGAACCTTAATTTACTACCCTGTCAGCTCTCCCTCTCTTTCTTCTACCCTATAAATACCTAGTAGTTTTTCAAGCGTGAATATCCACTGGCATTTTCTTTCTTGGTATGCAAGTCTGCTCTTGTTTTCATGGGTGATGCCTATGTACATCATTAAGAAACCCAAAACTCCCTTCCTCCCTCAAACCAAAATCAAACCCCAATATGATGTGACATGTACTGAGCAGTTATGATGGGAAGCAAAGACCAGAGAAGGTACTGCTAGCAAGGGTCCTCAGCTTCTTTCTCTGAGACATGCTGGTTACACTGCAGCACACTTGAAGTCTTAAGGAGAGGAGCCAGGGGCTCCCAAGGTAATAGGAGCCAACAGGGAAACACCAGTGAAATACCCCAAAGGAATTAAGGGCTGTTCCTCTTAAGAAGGTCACACAGCCAACAGCCCTGCCGAAGTGCCTCTACACCAATGCACACAGCATGGGCAACAAACAGAAGGAGTTGGAAGCCATTGTGCTGCTAGAAAGTTACGATCTAGTTGCCATTTCTGAAACTTGGTGGGACGAATCTCATGACTGGAATGTGGCTATGGATGGCTACAGGTGAGGAAGGAGGAGTGGAGGGGTTGCCCTCCACATCAAGAAATGGATGGAGTGTGAAGAGCTGTCTGTGAAGAATAGCCACGAGCAGTTTGAAAGCTTATGGGTAAGAACCAGAGACAGAGGCAACAAAGGGAACCTCGTGGTTGGTGTCTACTACCGGTCGCCTGATCAAGGGGAGCCTGTTGACAAAGCCTTCTTACTCCAGCTACAGTAGGAATCGCGTTCGTGGGCTCTCATCCTGCTGGGGGATTTCAACCACCCCAACATCAGCTGGAAAAGTAACATGGCAAGCTGTAGGCAATCCAGGAGACTCCTGGAATGCATTGAGGATAACTTCTTAAGCCAGGTAACAGATAGCCCTACCAGTGGGAACACGATACTGGACCTGTTGGTCACCAACGCAGGTGAGCTAATCAGTGACATCAAGATAGGAGGCAGCCTGGGCTGCAGTGATCATGCACTGGTGGAGTTTGCAATCCTGAGGGATATTGGCCAGGCAAAGAGCAAAGTCAGGACACTGAATTTTAGGAAAACAAACTTCCAGCTCGTCAAGGAGTTAGTCAATAGGAGCCCCTGGGAAACTGCTCTCAGGGACAAGGAAGCAGAACAGAGCTGGCAGATCTTTAAGGATGCTTTCCATTGAGCACAAGGGCTCTTGATCCTCAGGTGTAAGAAATCAGTAAAGGAAGGCAAGAGACTGGCATGGCTGAGTTGAGACCTGCTGGTCAAACTAAACAGCAAGAAGGAAATGCACAGGTAGTGGAAGCAGGGACAGGTATCCCAGGAAGAGTACAGGGACGCTGCCCAGTTGTGTAGGTATGGGGTCAGGAAGGCCATGGCACAGCTGGAGCTGAACTTGGCAAGGGATACAAGGAATAGTAAGAAGGGCTTCTACAGGTGTATCAGCCAGAAAAGGAAGGTCAAAGAAAGTGTACCACACTTTGATGAGCAAGACTGGCAAACTGGTAACAACAGACGAGGAGAGGGTTGAGGTACTCAACAACCTTTTTGCCTCAGTCTTCACTGGCAAGCTGTCTTCTCATACCTCGAGTGGATGGACCACAAGACAGGGACTGGGGGAGCAAAGTCCCTCCCACTGTAAGAGAAGATCACGTTTGTGACCATCTGAGGAACCTGAACATACATAAGTCTTTGGGACCTGATGAGATGCACCCCAAAACCCTGAGAGAATTGGCTGAGGTAGCTGCCAAGCCACTCTCTGTTATATTTGAAAAGTCATGGCAGTCAGGTGAAGTCTATAGTGACTGGAAAAAGGGAAACATTGCACCCATTTTTAAAAAGGGTAGAAACAAGGACCCTGGGAACTACCAACCTGTCAGCCTCACCTCTGTGCCTGGAAAGATCATGGAATAGATCCTCCCAGATGCTATGCCAAGGCACAGGAAGGCAAGGAAGTGATTCGAGACAGCCAGCGTGGCTCCACCAAGGGCAAGACCTGCCTGACTAACCTAGTGGCCTTCTATGATGGAGTCACTACATCAGTAGACAAGAGGAGAGCTACGGATGTTGTCTATCTGGACTTCTGTAAGGCCTCTGACACGGTCCCCCACAACATCCTTCTCTCTAAATTGGATACATATGGATTCAATGGGCGGACTGTTTGGTGGATGAGGAATTGTTGGATGGTTACATCCAGAGAGTACTGGTCAATGGCTCAATGTCCAGATGGAGACTGGTGACAACTGGTGTCCCTCAGGGGTCCGTATTGGGATCAGTGCTGTTTAGTATCTTCACCAATGACACAGATGGTGGGACTGAGTGCACCCTCAGCAAGTCTGCTGACAACACCAAGCTGAGTGGAGCGGTTGACACGCCTGAGGGAAGGAATGCCATCCAGGGGGACCTGGACAAGCCTGGGAAGTGGGCTCGCATGAACCTCGTGAGGTTCAACAAGGCCAAGTGCAAGGTCCTGCACATGGGTTGGGGCAATCCCTGTATCAATACAGGCTGGAGGATAAAGAGATTGAGAGCAGTCCTGCCAGTAAGGATTTGGGGGTACTGGTGGATTAAAAGCTGGACATGAGCTGACAATGTGCACTCGCAGCCCCGAAAGCCAACTGTATCCTTGGCTGCATCACAAGAAGCGTGACCAGCAGGTTAAGGGAGGCGATTGTCCCCCTCTATTCTGCTCTGGTGAAACCCCACCTGGAGTACTGTGTCCACCTCTGGAGCCCTCAGCACAGGAAAGACATGGACCTGTTGGAGTGGGTCCAGAGGAGGACCACAAAAAAGATCAGAGGGCTGGAGCACCCACCCTGTGAAGACAGGCTGAGAGACCTGGAGTTATTCAGTCTGGATAAGAGAAGGCTCCGCGGAGACCTTATAGCAGCCTTCCAATATTTAAAGGGGGCTTATAAGAAAGATGGGGACAAACTTATTAGCAGGTCCTGTTGCAACAGAACAAGGGGTAATTGTTTTAAACTAAAAGAGGGTAGATTTAGATTTGGATGTAAGGAAGAAATCTTTTACAATGAAGGTGGTGAAACACCGGAACAGGTTGCCCAGAGAGGTGGTAGATGCCCCATTCCTGGAAACATTCAAGGTCAGGTTGGACAGGGCTCTGAGCAACCTGATCTAGTTGAAGATGTCCCTGCTCACTGCAGGGAGGGTGACTAGATGACTTTTAAAGGTTCCTTCCAAGCCAAACTATTCTGTGATTCAATTTCCTGGATTACATAACAGCTTCACCATTCCTGTTGCATTAGTACTTTGAGGTTTTGAGGTTTTTTTAATCAACACATTAACTGTTATAGTAGTAAGAAATACTGAGATAAGTTGAAGCAATTATTTCAAATCTGTGATTTTTCAAAGGCATAAGAAAACAAAAATATTTATCCCTCATAAAGTGTTTTTGAGATTTGGCAGACAAGAGCATCTGTGCAAGAATACGTATCATTAGTTCCTCATTTTAGGGACTGGGAAACAAAGGTACAGTAAGCATACAACTGTTCTCACCACAGAGGACATCAACTGCAAAGATGGAATGGAACCTAAGCTCCTCACTTTCAGTTCAATCCCTTTATACAACAATGTGCCTGATAAAAGTGAATTGCAAATATGAATTCTTCCTAGAAATGGTACCACTGTTACACCATCACAGCTGTATTACTGATTGTCTCCACAAAGCATTATCAGTTTGACTGCTAGACAGTTATCACTAAACGGATGGGAACTGCTGATAAATAAGCCAAGGCTGCCCTTACCAATAGAAACACCGCAGTGCGACCCACAGAGATTGATGTTACTCTCAGAGATGGCAGCCATACGGATCTGGTCAAACGCCCGTGTGAAGAAGGTTGCAAAGGTGCTGGCAAAAGCAACAGTTCTGTCACGAGTGGTACAACCAACTGCAATGCTCACCTGAAAAGAGGGAGAGTGTACAAGAACAGTGAATTTCTCTTTATCAATTGTTTCCAAGAGATCATCTGTGAGACTTCCTACAATAAAACTTTAGCAAGAAGCTCTCAATGCAAGATTAAAAATCTCTGCCTAGTCCTGCTCTTAATTGTTGGCCTTTCCAAAAAGGAAAGGAGGCAACTCACTCTTTCAGTATCTATCCTCCAGCATCTGCTCTTGCTCCTTGCCTCAACTGCTAGCTGTTATCGTTGATCCTTACCGGCAGCTTCTTTATCTGCTCCGAGCAGCCATTCACAGAATTTTAAGACTTATCTCCCTTTTTCTTTTCCTCAATCAAAGGCTTACACTTTCAGTCCAAAGGACATGGGTTTACTATCTCCAGCAGACAAAAAAATTATCATTACCAAGTGGGAATGGATTTAGCTGTGTTATAACGTCTGGTATTTACTGAAAGGGCCCTTCTTCAGCAAGACAGAAATTAGAACAAGGTCTTTAAATTGTTTATTGCTACAATTATCCCATATATTTATTTTACACAGAAATTGGTCTGCCCTTCATGGTGAATTTCTCCTAAGTTGATGTAAACCCAAAATGCCTGATCTAACCTCATGAAACTGCCCTAGTATAAAATTTGCAAGAGACAGTCCATGGGTTCTTTGGTTATAAATCATTAAAGACAACAAATAATTTCTGCCTGAATTTGCGTCTTTAATTTCATTTGCTTCAGTGAACCCATACAGGTGGCAACCGAAGACTCAGTCAAACAGATGAGCTATCAAATTATTTTAGTCCTTTCTGTACAAATGTCATCAGGCTAAATTTATTAACTGTTTCTCTGTCCTCACCTGTATACCCCAGTCTAGCATAGAACTCATTGTCACATTGTGATACTCCATTTCTTGTGAAGACAAAAAACCTCCCTAAAAAGTCTTTTCAGAGTTAAATCTCTACAAATGACACTGTGGAAAGTATTACTGGCATTTACGTATTGCCACCTCCTTGTGTTCTGCTGAAACACAGACAATATGACTATAAAATAAAATAAATAAATAAATGAGAGGAAGATTTAGGAAAGAATGATTAGAAGCACTCCTGTTGTATTATATTTGTAAGCTTTTGCCATAGCCTACTTTTTCGCTAAGAACTGAGCAAGTCAAACTAAATATCCATGAATACACATATGAAAAGCAAGTATTAAAACTCCACTCTCTGAAGACTCAGATGCATGGTCTCAGATCCTGCCGTGTAATACCAGTATTTCATAAAACCAAGAGACCAGTTACCATGTTCTGTTCAGCAATGTAGCATTCAATGTAGCGACTGGGATGTTCTTTCTTAAAAAGCTCTGCAAAGGTGGAGTTCTTTGTGTCTCCATCCAAAGCAATCACTCGATCATTAGCATGGCCCAGTTTTGCAAGTGCAACACCATAAGCTTTGCGGGTAGCCCACTAGGAAAAGAAAAATATAGCAGTACTGTTATAACTTTCTGTTTCTAGAAGCTTTTTTTTCCCCCATTTTCTTGTTTTTCCACCAGTGCATGCACATACAATTAAAAAAATCATCCCAAAACACAACCAAAACCATTTTAAGTATCAGCAGTATCAGAGTACATATGAGAACAGCGACACACAGAAGACTAAATAAAAAAAAAAATACAGTGAAGCATCAGGACACACATTTGTGCTGAAATCAGCAACTCCCTGCCAATCCAGCTAGGAAATTTTGAAATCCTTGGTTACCAATCATGGAAATTCACTGAACCTCGTGGAATTTCTTTAATTTTAAATATATGTAAAATAGTTTGGATAACTGGTAACGATCACGAAATGAAGAGTGATTTGAGTCTTTATATTTTAATATATCCTTTCAACACCCAGCGAGTTGAATGTCTGTGTGTCACACCACAGAGTTAGGTGTTTACCAGGAGACTCAAATAGAGAAGAGGCGGGTAGTTGAAATTGTGGCAAGGGATGACACAAAACCTCCTGCCATCCATTTACCAGTCTCACACTTCGAATCTATCTGACAGTGAAAAAGGAAGGGAGTACCTTTTCTCCCACTTTGTAAGTTGGTGGAGATGGCATCTTAATGTTTCTAATATTTATTACAGGTGCGTCTTCTTCTGGGAGGGCTGGAGAAAGCTTTTTCTTGTTTTGGATTTTGTCATCTATTTCCTGAATGACTTGTTCGGCCATGTTTTTTGGAAGGGGCTTTCCATGCCAGCTTTCCTTATCTTCAACAGCTGTGTATTTAAAATTACATTACAAATAAGAAAAATGTAAAAACTATTTAAGTTTTTAGCTGCAGATTTTACCCAGATAAAAGTGTAGTCGAGTATGATAGTCTAGTATGTTCTTCCAAGGAATAACTTCCTTATTATTACCACCGTAAACAATTAAAAGAGTATTCAATTGCATTAAGACTGCCATGTTTAATTACGTAAGAGAAAGTAAAACTTCATCTATTCCAAACTAGTAACAAAATTCCAGCATCTTCTACTGAAATTGTTTTTATATTGGCACATAGAAGAAGGTGGTCCATAAGCGTGGCAAGAAGTAAACAGTAAATCGGCGTGAACAGTTAACATGAAGTTTCAACAGTTAGGCCTAATTAAACAAACTCAGCCAAGTTTCAAACAACAGTTAACCAAGCTGTCTAATTCAAACAAGACCTGACGTTTTACAGCTTTATTTTAATAGCTTATGATGACTCACCTTTGCGCACCCAGCACTAACAGCAAAATTACCTCTCTGGCTGATATGCTGCTTTTCACTGAGCAAGTCGCTAAGAACAATGAATTTCACTTGCTTACTCAATGAAAAGGAATGAAGATACTCACTCCTGTTAGTACATTTATCTGGTCAGAAAGACAAATTCACAGAGTGCTGCCAAAAGCTGTACCTGAACAGAATCATGGCAATCCCTGACACATTGAATATTCATTTACTCCATTCTATGGATACAATGCTCAGTAGCTAGCCTACATCTCACGTGCAAGAACCAAAATCATTTTCTTAGCACTAACGCTCTTCAGAAGTACTAAGAGTTTGAAAGACTTTCTGCATGCTACTGCTCAAATGTGTAGGTACACATCTGTCCCCCAGACAAGGACATTCAGGTAAGCTTCACATCATGTGAAAACTACAAAAGGGTCTAGGGGCTCCATGAACTCCAAAATTCAAATAGTTGCTAACCTGTGAAATAATCTCTGTGGACTACTGTATCCTGTATCTCAAGAAACTACACATTTGATGATAGGAAATAACCTGTAGCATGACCAGGTAGCTTAGGTACCACATCTCAAGCAGCTTTGTCAGAACTGTAAATGCAGCATCCCTCCTCATTTTTTATGTATTTATACTGCCTGGCTGGCAACAAGCAGACATAGTTATCTGCTACACAGGGAGCTGGGAGCTTCTGTGACAAAGTTATTCCCTTCTCAGAGCAGTCTCTGTGAGTCTAGGGATCAAGAGCAAGTCAAGAAGGTTGCCCTCTTTTGCTAGGGCAATTTTCAAGACAAAGTCATATGGTCCAATGTTCCCCGCTGTCCCCAGCCATCTTCCAGACTGGAAAAGACTTTTTAAAGAATAACAATTTAAGTACAGCTGACAGCAGAAGAAATCCTACTCTGCAACTGGGGATCTGTAAAAGCTCAGTCAGCACGGAAGCACACCTGGCTGGATAATGTGAACCGAGAACCACATCCTTGCCTGCTTCTAATGAAGTGTCAATCTAGTGTTCCCCGTAAGAAAAGGCAAAGGAAAAAAACCAATAGGATGAAATTCCGAGTTTTCAGATTGTACAGTAGTACGATCAAGTCAAAAAGCTGACAGGATACCAACCTTTTTCTAATGTGCGAAACATTAAACTTCTATATTTTTTAATGATTGCACCTTTATTGCAGCACTATGCACATGTCGTGCACAGAAACAGCCCAGGCACACGGCCATTGCTGTTACCAAAATGTTCACAGGCACAGTAAAGTAAGCTGTGATAAGCACTACGGCAAGCAGCAAAAGCAAAAAGCAGTCACTAATGAACACTAGACTAACACACAGTAAGGCAAACAAGCCCCAGTGCAAGCACAGGAGATGGCCAACTAATAGCTAAAGAGCAATAAAGCTATAACTTTGATCTAGCACATTCCAATCAAATCTGTCGTTACCTTGAACCCTTCAAGGCCCACATTGGGTGCCAAAAGGGACTACTGTGGTTTAACCCTAGCTGGCAACTAAGCACCACCCAGTCACTTGCTCACTTCCCCCTGGCGGGATAGAGGAGAGAAGCAAAAGCGGTGCATGCTAGCAAGGAAAAACAAGGACTTCATTCCCTACTTCTGGTAGGCAGGCAGGTGTTCAGCCATCTCCAGGAAAGGAGGGCTCCATCACACATAACCGTTACTTGAGAAGACAAAACGCCATAACTCCGAACGTCCCCCCCTTTCTTCTCCTTCCTGCAGTTGTATATGCTGAGCAGGATGCCACATCGTATGGAATATCCCTTGGGTCAGTTGGGGTCAGCAGTCCCGGCTGTATCCCCTCCCAACTTCTTGTGCTCCTGCTTGCTGGTGGGGTGGTGTGAAAGGCAGAAAAGGCCTTGACTCTGAGCAAGCCCTGCTCAGCAATAACTAAACCATCCCTGTACTATCAACACTGTTTCCAGCACAAATCCAAAACATAGCCCCATGCTAGCTCCTGTGAAGAGAATTAACTCTACCCAGCCAAAACAAGCACAGTGCACATTATTATATACATGCATATGCAAAGCAATAGATGATTTATTACCTGATATGCCTTTGCCTTTAAAAGTCTTTGCAATGATAGCCGTTGGCTGATGTTTGGCCTGGCCAAAGGCTTTGCAAAGTTCCTCCACACTGTGTCCATCAACGATGATAGCATGCCAGCTAAGAACACAAACAGATCAACTGTTTTTAAAGGGTTTTAGCATGTGACACTCTCTGGTAGTTGGCAATAACAATAATTAATACTAACTTGATTCCGATGCAGTGTCTTTTTAAGAGACCCAAAGTATGCCAGAACCATGAACTAGCATTCACTTGAGATCATAAAGTATCATAGTCCCTTTTTTATAACACAAAATGAGTCACAGAGGGATTAACAGGTACTAGCAAAATTCACAGCCCACAGATAAATAACGTATCCTACATTCCTTCAGACATAGCCATTTTTAATCACAAGAGCAAATCAAACACCTAGAAATAAATTAAAAAACTGCCAATGAAAGTTGACTAAAATAATAAAAATGCTCCATCATAATTTGCATGGCTGCTATTCCACCTGACAGTTTTTTATGATGCATTTTTGCATCTACATAGAAATATACATTTCTAAACTAAATGAAAGCCAATACACAAAGAAATCTCTTACAAGTAATGATTTCCATGACCTTTTTTCTGATCTACTTGCTATGACAGCATATTTGGTCACACAAACAGTAATAAAATCTGTATTAAATGTGATAAAAACTGCTCTAAGATCCTCTAACTAATTTATCTGACTAAGCAGTCCTTTTACTCTTTCCTCTAAAAAAGTCCTTCTGCCGCTTTTAATATTCCTCCTATACCAATAAAGACAACCAATATCAGGCATTATGAAAGACCATCTTTCTTGGTTATGGTATCCTTTAGAGTCGAAAGCTCATTTGAAAAATTCTGAAAAGCAAATAAAACATACAATTTAAAATGGGAGACTATACTGAACTTCTTACAATCACATACCCAAAGGCTTCACACCGTTTCTGGTAAATTTCAACATGATGCTGCAGAGGGGCAGGGTCACTTTGTCCAAGACGGTTAACATCAATTATAGCAACCAGATTATCAAGCTTGTAAAACCCAGCAAAGGCCATTGCCTCCCAAACAGAGCCTTCAGATAACTCTCCATCTCCAAGCAGACAATATACTCGATAGCTAGAAGAAGAAATAAAAAATAAAAAATAAACTTTGATGGGTAAGCACAATTAAATCAAAAGCAAAACCCCTCTAACAATTCATAGTGAAAATCCACTGCTTTTTCTACTCCAAACTCAACTTCCACTGCTGAACGCATTCATCTCAGATAACCTTACATAACCTTAGAGAAATTAAATTAAAATACTTCTGAGCTGTTACACATAAAAAAAAAAAAAAAAAAAGATGAGAAGTACTGTACTCCTTTTCAAACCTTTGTCTCAAAAAAATCAGGTCTTAAGCCTCCTATTGCAAGACCTGAATAAAGAGGCCTGTTAAACACTGTCACTGTGACTCAGCAAGATCACTAACAATGCATCAAAGGTTACTGTCTGCTTCCTTATTCCTACCACATACTCTCTGCAAGGACGACTAATAATTTAGTTTCAGGAAACTATAAATTTGGTATGAACTCAACTATGGATTAAAGCATGTTGCATAACCAAATTCAGAATTCAGGAAAAAGATAACCAGCACAATGTGACTTTGTAGACTATTTCTCCAAACACTGAAGCTCTTCATTTAGGTAAAACTCAGCAGGAGTACTGCCTCATCACTACAGAATTCAGCCGCTGCATTTTTCTTTTATTACCACTCTCTTTTTCAATGACAAAGCTTTATAAATGTTTATTACCTCTGAAAATTTTAAAAAAGAACAGTAAATTAGCCTTCAAAAATATAATTTTAAAGCAAAATAATCAAGATGGCTGTTAGCGAATTTTTTTTTACTAGACATTAAGCTTTAACAGACTTTTGATCTGAATCCCACCTGCCTTCAGCTAAATCTGAACTCCTTCCACATAAGCTGCTCCCCAGTACTGTATGTAAGACCACCTTTTCCTTCTGTCATGTAAGCACTGGTTAGATTTTTTCCACACGTAGCATCTGCTAAACTCAATTAAAATCAGCAAGTCATCTTTCACAGAAATGATTTCAAGCTAGTGAAGTGTAGGACACACTAACTGGGCAGCCTATGCTCAAATGTACTAGAACTGTCACATAAAATACATCAACTACATCAGGCTATTTTCCTCCTTGCGCAGATTTGCCTTTAGACATCTACTTCTCTTGTGCACAAAACAAATGGCAGAAGCAGTCATTTTTGTCTCTGTGGAGTTGAGTGCCTTTCTGGTAACATTTTGAAGCCCTACTTTATGATTCAATGGTGCTATTACTGACCATAACAGTTCCTTATCTAGATACACGTTCTCCATTATTTGTCATCTGACTTTGAACAGATGCATCTCTAGTTTGTGTCTTCCTTCTAAGGGGACACATATGAGTCTCAAAATGGCTATAATTACTCTCTGGAAATTAGAGGCTGCTCCAACCACTTACTGTCTTCTCTGTTCAGGAACATCACCTTGCAATGCTGTCAGGTTACAAAAGGAATACACATATGCACTAATTCTTGCTAATCTTTAAATCCTTCGTAGTCGCACTGCCAATGGCTTTGTAACTATCAGGTTAGTAGTCTATCATTTAAAACCTGAATTTGAAATTGGATTTGAGAATGAAGAATAGAATAAAGGAGTTTTTTTGTTTTTCCTGATTGACAAAAGAATATAATTTCTTTTCACAAAATACTCCCATTGAATGCCTATAATCATGAAATATGAAGATGGAATTACCTGGCTCTGTCAAAGAACTTGCCGGTGTATGCCATTCCACATGCAGCACCAAGACCCTGACCAAGGGATCCAGTAGCTACATCAGTAAATGCTTGTCTCTGAGAATAAAAACACAACAATTATTTTACAGTTAAGAAACACAGGAACGAAATTCCAGTGCTAGAAGATAGTTCAACATACATCAAAATTCAGCTTCTCATCCATAACAATATAGTGCAAGTCCCTCCAAATCTTGCCCTGTTCCCCTTCTTTATCTGCAATGCATGTACCTTAATGATCAGTGTCACAAGCTAACTAGGCTCTCAGAGGGAACGGTACCTATGGCCCAGGAATTTCTTAGCTACGCCTTGGACAGCAACAGTTAAGAATTTATGATTTTGTGTAAAAAAGAATCCAAGTGAAACAACTGGCTGGGAAAGGAAAGACCAATGAGGTGACCAAACTGGATATAAACCCTTGAAACACCTCAAAGTTTCCTAAAGCATGAGAAAAGCCATCCCAGAACTTTATAAACACCTTTTTTTAAATGGAAAATATTGACATAGAAAACTGTAGGGGAACTCTACTACAACAGTAAAGGTCATTTTTACATGCTCATTCAAATGCAGTCGCTCATTCAGTTGTGAAGCCATAAATATCATCATCTTTTTTATAAGTCTTCATCCTTCCTGTACTGTAGCTGGCAACCAAGAATTGCTGCAAAATACATGCACTTCTTATTTTACAGAAAACACCATCTTATATCAAAGGTTATGAGCACTCACTGGTACTGGGTGTCCCTCTAAGATAGAATCAATTTTCCTCAAGTTCAGTAATTCTGCTTCCTGTAGAAAGCCAGCCTCTGCCCAAACAGAATATAAAATTGGTGCTGCATGACCCTAGAGAGAAACATAAATTTTAAGCAAAGCACAAATTTCACAATATCCTAGTATCAAGGCAAAGTTCTACAAAGCTGACAAACCCTGGAATCAGGTTTTTATGTGCCCTAAGAAGGCACTGAGTTATAAAGCACTTTTACAACAGAACATTCACATGGATGCTTGCTTCCAAGTCCTCCACGCCCCTGCTTAGAGCACCCCAGATAGCTGACTATAATTAAGACAGAAAGAATGCAGCACTCTCAAGGGCTATTTAGGACATCCTTGAGAAAATCAACATGGAAGACTAAGAAGGTCTCTCTCACCCATGCAGGTCCAATTCCAAAAAGTAGTTTTGGCATTCAAATAAAAAACCTTGACTCAATTTGCTTAGGTACCAGTTTCAAGAACAGAGCACTGTTCGCTAAACCAGTAAGCAGATGGACCAGCAAGTGTTCTCCCATTAGAACTTCTTCAGTACATAAGTAAGATGCAGTGACTGACAACAGGCAAAATTTTAAGCTTTATACACTCAGATCCTTGCGGCCAGGTCCAACTGGACAACTGCAAAGTAATAGTCATCTTCCACCCATGGAGTCATTAGGAGTCAAAAAAGCATGCAGAAGTTTGAAGCCATTTAGCAACTCTGGGTAGAAACCCTGATTAATTACAGAGAGGCAAAGCAAACATGAAGAGGCAAATTTCTCTTATTGCTTTACCACCTCAGTATTAGCTGCTTGCTTCTCATCCAATTACTTATTTCAGAATGGCAATCAGAAGTGGCAACAGTTATTCTATCCAATGCAAGGATATACACCATCAGCTATGCAGCACTATTGTAAGCCATCATGTGAGGAACTCAGATGGAACCGTACTCACTGGTGTACTTCATCTGCCATTTTCTACATCATTATGTTTTCTGAACGCCCCTCAACAGCTTTTATGTCATATGATCAAAATGTCCCTGTGATTTGCAAGGGCACAATGCAAAAGGGGATAGAAACACTAACGGCCAGTCCAGATTGTGGTTTTATGTATTTTCTGAACCACAGCGGCTTCAAAAGTAGTACTAACTTCAATATCACACTGGCACAGTATGAATGCAAACTACTCACTAACCCACCATAACTATTTCATGTAATGCTCCTTGAAAAGCTGATGGTAATTAGCGCACATTGTGACGTGACTGCAGGCATAACAGCACGGCTGCATTTAACAAGTAGGGCACAAAAGCTAACCGCAACTCACTTGTTAGAAAATTTGTTATGCCAAAATAAACAGACATTAGTATTTCTCGATAGACATTATTGATAATATAAAACATTTGTTGTATTTATTATTATTTATTATTAGGACAACTTAACATAGTGAAGACTTATCAAGACACATTATACAGACACTTTTTAATTAAGTTTTGGCATAACTCAAATATAACTCAACCAGCTTTTATTTGTCTTTCTGAAGTAGACAAATTCCAAGCTCTCAAATATTTCCAATAGACCTCTGTGTAGATGCAAGCATTAGTAAGCATAAGTCAAGGAAGACAATTTAATTTACAGACAGACAGCTCTTTACTAGCAGACTGCAACAGTACAGCATAACAATTATTATTTTACCTTTGAAAGAACAAACCGGTCGTTGCTGGCGTTTCTGGGATCTTGCACTTTGTACCTCATGGTATGGAAAAATAGCACAGACATAATCTCTGCTGCACTGCAACATGATGTAGGGTGGCTACAAGTCAAGACAGACCCAAGATTACCACTTCTCATTATTGTTTGCTCAAGATCGTATCTTTAAAATATCACTTTACCAGTCCCCTATTCCTCAACATTAAAATACACAGTCTTAACTGTTTTTGATAACCCATCCAATCTACCATTACCTCAATGCCAATTAGTTGTACTTCAAGACAAAAGCAGCCTTCTTATCTAGTTGATGTGGATGTTAAAAGATAGACCCTGCTGAAAGCCCAGGGACATATCTTTTAGAGCTCTCTGTTCTTCATGCCAAGGAATGCCACCCTAACTGGTGAGGCACCACTGCCTAACTGTGAGGCACCGGGAGCAGTATGACTCCCTGCCTGAAATCACACTCTATCAATTTATCTGCCAGCAGAAATTCACATGGATGCAGGGGAAACAAAGACAACTTTCCACAGTACTTTAGCCACTCACTGAGCGAAGGAATGAAAAGCATGGCATCACGACTCGTTCAGGCCCCGCTGCACGGGCAGGGATTGGTAATGCAAGATTAACTTTTGCAGAAAGTTCTGAAACATTTAGAACTGTGTAACACAGGTACCATTTTATTTTACTATGTTACAGCTGACAGAACTAGAATTCTGATTTTTAAAGAGGACAACAAAGAATACAATTCTTGTATTTCATCTTCTACAGAAACTAGACACAGAAATTTACTGTCTCCAGTAAGCACCCAGATACACATTGTAAAACACTAATTTGCTTAATCTTTGGCTAAGAGAGTAACCAACATTTTTGTCGGTATCAGTTCGAAATATTGAACTAGTTGGTTTATCAAACATTCATAAGTATCTGGGACAGTCTCTCCCACTGAACTATCTGGGATGACTTTTGCAACAATTTTCAACAGAAGCACAAATTAATACTTCAACTGTAACTTGCTTTAAAAATACACAGGCCCATTTCAGAAGCAACTATGCCACATAGTACCAACAAGCAAATATAAAGTTACATGAAAAGGGTTATTTCCAAGTGGCAAACATTGAGTTATTCCAAGGCAAGGTATATCTTTCATTTGAACTGTAACAGAAGGGCACACAATTACTTTTATTTATCTACATTACTGTAATTTATTAATGATCACTGTAGTTCTTATGCACCTTGAAGGGATGGCACTATTTGACCACTTGAATTTATCAGCCTTGGCTTTTCACTTGCGATAAAGCACAAAAGGGATAAGGAGGCGTTTTAAAAACCTTTACTGAGTGCAGAAAATAGCATTTTTCAGAATTTTCTGGTGTAAATGGCATCATTCTTGATATCAGTGGTTGCTACTGAAGTACAGGAAAGTGAATGAGGAATAGTAAGAAGGTTATGGCTGCAGAAACCTGCACCAGCTTTCACCAGCTGTGAAAATAACTTGCAGTCTCATCTCAGTTTCTCTTCTACCAATGTTTAGTTTTCATCTTTAACACAACACTCTTATAGTATTTGATCCTACTTGTAAAACAGGACAAACTTACTAGGAAAGTGTCACATTTCATTTCCCACATGTACATTTACCATGCATGTTACGATTAGACAACACTTGCATTAGAACTTTAATGAGAATATTCTCTTCCAGTAGTAACAAACCTTCCCTCCCAATATCCCCAACAGTGCTGTAATAAGAGAACAAAAACATGCAAAACACTAGCAAAATATGAATTACAGTTAGTGTCCATCCCTTAGTAAGTACTCACACACAGGGAACCAAAAGAATTAGCTTTAAACCATGGTTCAAACATATTAGTAAATATTTATGTATTTGAGTTAATCAATAAGCCTTACATGCTTGTTTAAAGCTTTCATTCCTTTAATTTTATTAACTTTATACTTAACCATACTTCTATGAACTCCTGGTCTTGGTATAAAAAGTTTTAAACAACCTAAAATGGTAGCATGTGGAAATAAAAAAAAAAGGTAGAAAAATTTAATAAGTTACCTTAAAATTGGGCAGCGGAGCAGGGGGGGTTGGTGGTGGAATCTTGTTAACACTACAGGTTAAATAAATTACTTCTTACTAACAGAAATTACCCAAAATTTAACTATATATCAGATACCAGAAATCATTCCAAAAATCAGCTACACAATTTTCTTTAAATATAGCCATCTTAACTACATCTACTGGCTTTCTATTAGCTCATACTTTTCTAATAAGTTCTGTTAAAAGGATTCCTTGTTAAGCCTAGCAAAGTGTATTGGGATTACTCGTACAAGGAGAGGAAAAAAAAAACAACGCAGCAAGTCATCGCCAGTATTTTTACACAATCTTCCTCATTTTGTTCCTGATTAAAGAACAACCTAGAACTCAGCGGTGGTGGTCCATTAACACGCTTCCCTGCCAGATAGCTTCTACTGAAGAATTGCCTTAACTTTGAAACATAGCCCTTCAGTAGGAAATCAAACCAAAGCACGTTAGAACACTGAAATACTGGATGCACACAAATCAAAAGTAAAATAATTACCCCAATGTAGTTTTGTGGGGGGTTTTTTCTCACTCTGCATCAATTTACATTAGCTCCATCTACACGTGTCTATACATTTCAACTAAAAAGAATCGTGGTGGAATGTTAAAATGGAATACTGAGTGAAAGACAAAAGCTAAAAAATTGAAGGAGAAAATAACCTGCAATAACTGATCATACCACATGAAACTTAACTGACAATGAAAGTTAGAGCTGAGAACTAGTTTCACATAAGTTAACTTATGAAACTTAATTGCCTCTTCAGAAATTCCTGCAACTTCCACTTTTAAGAATTTAACTACCTAATCCTAGGAAGCCAGGCACTGTTTCAAAACCACAGAAATTTATCACTAGCTACAAATTAAAGCCTACCAGTTTTGATGAAAACGTCTGTACTACTTATCTAGAAGAAAAACTTCTTCCACACCCAAAAGCAAGTATGTTCAATCTTTACAACTAACTTAATCAAAATTTTTCCCCACCTAGGCATTATAAGCACAACAATTTTCCCAGTTCACTGACTCTTTCCACTACAGCTGGTAAAGTACTCAAAGTGATATGTTTGAGCATCTTCAAGATCAGACGACCTGATCTTTTAGCTCCTGTCTAGACAAACGCTGTACTTTCTTTTACAAAAGTTAGTACAAGTAAAGACTGCAAGAACTGGTGTCAGATCTATCACAGAACCACTTGTGTTGCAACACATGCCACAGTTTACAGAGATTACTTCCTTAAAAGAAGTAGGCAGGTCCTGTTTTGTTTTAAGTGCTTTTATTACAAGTATTTACTTCAGTTTTACAAACTACACCTTTAACAAACACAAATTTCCTTAGCAAGGTCAATGCAAACATAATAATTCTTTTTTATTAACTGTAAGCTCCTATTTAACTTGCACGCAAACATCTTTCTACATTCTTAGTGTATACCAGCAATTTAAGCAAAGCTTACTGTCTTATTCAGGTTTTGGCAAACACATTCATAATATACAGCTGTTTTAGAAATGTATGGGATTAGCCTAACAGCACAACAGACTCTGAACATCTTTTTCTTTCAGGCACATTACTACACCATCATCTTGGTAACCAAATCTTATTAATTAAGAAAATACATGACTTGTCAACAGAATCTTCCCTCCAGAGCCCATCTTTCATAATCTGCTCATTATCAGGTTGTGTAATAATTTCAGACTCTACACAACTCTAGTGCTAGAACAAGCTACAGTGATTAATGAAATGCTTTTGTGCAGAAAGTACTCAGTATTGTAGCATACATGAACCAGGAATAAAAAGCTTGCATAAAACTACTGTTTCTTCATCAGTATGGGGAGAATAGTTTTACTATTGAATTTCATGGACCACAGAAGAAAGCAAAGGCTGTAGCTAGATCCTTATTCTTTAACAGTACATCAGACAAAACAGAGAAGTAATTTTATCTCTAGATAAGACAACTGACAACATACATTTCTGTGGCCTGCTTAAAATACACACTAGAAGCACAAGACTGAAGTCCAAGCTCTACTAAGTAGATTTAACACAATTTTTCTTACCTAGAGTTTCACACAGGCTTATGTAATACTGCCTGTACATTGTAGCTTTGAAACAAATCAAGAATTAAAAGAGCAATTGTTGGGTATCCTGTACTTCTCTCTCCCGACTGGACCAAACAAGCTATGGGTTTGTAAAAACCCACTCCTATGGCTAGCTGAGAAGCTCCTCGTGTCCCAACAACCCATTTTGCAGGAAGAATCAAAGGCGCATTTTCATTTGCTGTATGCAAAAGGAACGAGTAAAGTTCAGTTTCTGTATGCTTTGAGAGAGAGCCATGTGAGGTAGCCCATGCCAAACACAGAGCGGAAAGTATAAGGCAAATCAAGGAAGAAACTTTAAAATATTTTACACACCACCTTTCTCCACACAAATCTCAGCATCCAAAGGATTCCTTCAATTTTTTTTTTTTTAAACACTACAGCCAGTTTCAAAGAAGTCCAAAGGAGGAAATTGCAACAAGATGGAATATTTAAAAAAGAATAATAATAAAAAAAGGCCAGCACTATATGGAAGCACTGAAATGTATTATTCAAACAGAAAAAATGGCTTTAATTTTATATGAGTAAAAGCGGATTGTTTGCAGAGATTTTTTTTCCATAGGTAAAGCACCATCAAAGGAAGGATAACCCTGGAATCTGCACACATCAGAGCCTACACTAAATCCTGTCCAGAGGCCTGAATAAACTGCCCATTCGAGACCGCGGGCATTTCACAGATAATCCCACTTGGGCTCACTTGAAATTCTGTGCAGAATTAGTTCCAACTGACGGGCACGAAATGAAAAAGAAACTGTGCCTCAGGCACAAATTCTTTGGTTTT